GCTTGGTGTCTTTCGTCCTCAAAGAACGACAGGTTGGACAAATCCCCATATTTGTAAGGCAAATTCTAGATCTTGAACACGAACTAGATGCAAATGTGGAAAGAGATCTCGAAGAGAAATTCCCCCGTACCCATTTGGCAAAAATAGTCCTGCAGCAATGTGTATAAACACGACCACGAAGGTTTGGTGCCAGCCCATACTGGAGTACAAATTGCAAGGGCAGCTCCCAAGCAACCGCAAAGAACAAAATGCCTTGAGAAGACAGCCAAGAAGATATCCTTGTATTAACCGGGTATTGCATCAAAGGTCTTTTGATGCCATTATGTTGCGATGCATGTGATGGAACGAAGTGCAACAAGCCGTAAAAGTGCATGACGGGGTGTGTGGTTCGCACCAAACTGACCCAAAGTTGTACAAAAGGTTGAAGCGCCTCGGATATTATTGGCTGTCAATGGCCTCCTATGCCATTAAATATGCCAAGAGATTCCATATATGCCAGATTCATGGTGATTTGATTCATCAAGTACCAGAACCTCTAGACACCCAATCGTGACAGCGTGGCTTCCTTTGGGTGGGGGATAGATGCCATAAGCCCCTTTGATCATCCATCAGCAAGTCTTCATGCTTACATTTTGGCCTCAACAAACTAATGCTCAAAATGGGCTAAGGCGATCCCTCTAAGGCAAGTCACGGCTAGGGCGGTCCACAACTTCGTGAAACATCATCATTTATCAGTTTAGAATACCAGAACGAATCCTCTCGAACAACAGGTCGCCTTCCAAATTATTTAATAGACCGGCTTTTGAGCCAGTTTCACATAGATTGGAGATACACAACAGCCTACAACCCAAAAGTGAGCGGACAAGCAGTGGCGTTTAATTAAATGCTAGATAAAGTCCTAAAGAAGACACTCTTGGAGTCTAAAAAGGATTGGCACGAAAGATTGCCTGGAGTACTATGGGCCTACCACACCACAATGAGAATAGCCATGGAGGATAGGCAGTATTCCATCTCAAGTTGAAATTACTGTCTTTGAGAATTGTAGTAGATTCCAAGCTATGAAAAGAAGATGGTTGTGGTTAGAGGAAATGAGGCCTTAGAAGAGAAAAGGCTATTGTCTCAGCAAATACTTGAGGCTTGCCAAGCTCGGATAAGCACAAAAAGGTCAAAATAAGAACATTTAAGCAAGGGGAATTAGTCTTGGTAATTAGGTGTCCCATTGCAAAAAGGGGGAAATTTGGGCCAAAATGGGAAAGACCATTCATTGTGAAAGAGGTATATTCTTGTGGGGCCTACCTTGGCTCAAAGCAATGGAGAGGATGTAATGCCTCCGATCAATGTTCGTTTTCCAAAGAAATACTATCCATAAGTATGGTTCTTTTTATCCTAACTGAAAAATATTAAAGTACATAGCATTCAATCCCGGTTGCATGACGTTGCATGAACATAAACTGCATGGAAAAAAAATTGTGGCAAAAAACTAAAAAGGCGCTATGAATAAATATGAACAGAATTGTCCCTATTGCATGACAATAAAATACGAAGCGATGCCCATCCCGCATGACATACAAATATGTGGTCGGCTCGTGAATAAAACAAATACATGACTTGAAGAGTAATAACTATTTCAAAAACAAATCACATAACAAGATTCATAAGGAAAGACCTCTCCAAAAATGTTTAAAGGACACTAAGTCAAAAGGGTCGACCATCAAAACAAAGTATACATGGTCCAGAAGGAAAAAAAAAAGAACAACAAAACAAGGAGAAAGACGTGAACCCATCATTCGAGACAGTCTTGACGCTCCTTTATAGCGGCTATTAGGCCATGATAAGAGGCTTTGCTCGTGGTAATCTCAGCATGAAGTTCCTCTTTTGCCATAAGAGCTGCAAGATGGTCATGAAGCGCAGCATCCTTGGCTCTTTCTAGTTCTTGGACCTGGTACTCGATCTTCTCATGCAATCTTCTCTCCTCAAAGGCAGCTGATTGCTTCAACTGAAGTTTGACCTCAGCATCTGCAAGGGCTTTTCTCAATTCTTCCACCTCTCGTAAGCATTCTACTTCAGCAAAGTGAGCTGATGCCTCTTTTGCTTTTTGCTCATTAAGCACCTGCATTGTGGAGGCATGTTGTTTCTCCAAATTTTCGAGGGATGAGGAGCATGCAATTAATCGTGCTTCATGTTCTGCAGCAATGCTTGCATACTCCATCCTTAAGCAGAGTCTCTTGGCTTGTGCCTGTTTTGCCATCTGTACAAACCTGGCCATTTCGACATGGATTACCACAGTCGGAATGCCAGCTTTTTCTACTAAAGCCAAGTAACTCTAAAGCTGCCTCTGCCTTGGGTAGGTTTTGGACCTTCATGCTTTTCAACTCTTCAATAACAAAAGCATATGCCTTCCGGCCCATGCTTAAGTCATAATCTTCTTCATCCTCCTCAGGTCCCAAAAGGGATGTTAGCATATGGGACGAAGGGATGGACTATAAATAGGCAGGAGTATCGCCTTCAGGCATTTCGATTTCAGGAAGTTCAAGAGAAGCAATGCTTCTAGATATAGCAACTAGCTGCTTAGCGGCCCCTATTATAATGATCAGGAAGAACGGTAAAGAAAGCTGAGGAATGGACCGAGTGCAGTAAAATATAAGAAGACAAGTGGTTACCTTCTTCAGTCTCTTCCATCATAGGATGGAAAGATTTCAGAGCATGTGGTGAAGGTCCCTCGATGGTAAGAGGCTCTAAGGGCAAGGGATTTGACTCCATAGGAGCGCTAACGGTTTCTAGTGTCTCTTTGAAGGCAATTGGAATTAATGGGCCCAACACACCTGCATGGTGTAAAAAGAGATAAGAAGAGAAGTATAAATGCATAATAAGTGCAAGACAAAAAGAATATACCTTCTCCAGCATCAACAATCGAGGCATGCAAAGATTCATGAATGGCCAGTGAAGGCACTGAGGCAAAAAAGACTAGGGAAAAAAAGAAACTAGGTGAGAACAAGGATCATGAAGCATCCCTCTGGTTCAAGAGAATTACTACTTACATAGTAAAGAGCGTGCAGATGGTTCCCTATCCTGTGTTAGTGAATGTGAGGTAGTTCTTACTTCTTGATGATGAGCCATACAATCGTGAACCCACCTTATGGACTTTACGAGTAAAAGGGGGAACACAGTATGACTCTAGATTCGATGAAAAAAAGGGTAAGAGGTTAGCCTCAAAAAGAGTTTATGGAAGAGTGTAACGAAAGTCCTAATTGGCCTTCATGTGGGCTTATTTCCGGAGATTGATATTGTGGAAGTCTGGTTGATAAGGGCCGGATGTCCACAGCATCTGAACCATGAACCCACTCTTTGGTAATGATCAATGCAGGAAGCAATTTGGAACGAGACCAGCTGGAAAGCATGTCATCTACAATGAAAGAAGGATGATTAGGTTTTCGAAAGGTGGGACGCCTAAATACGTAGGGTGGAATGTCATCAACATCAGAGCCTTTTCTCAACTAATTGAAGTGAGCTACACAAATCTCAGTCCACCATTCTGCTCTACTAAGGGCCATACCCTCAGTGAGACCATAAATCCCCATATTTTTCTCATTGCTTCCAACCATGTCCTTTTGGGCCTACCCCTTGCCCTTTTTTAGCCTTCCACTCGAACTAACTCACACCTCTTGACAATTGTTGTACTGGGTCTGTGCTGCACATGGCCAGCCCACCTAAGTCTACTTTCTCTCATCTTGTCACCTATTAGTGTCACACCTACATTCTCTCGAATGTGTCCATCTATTTTAAGTCGTATGATAATGGCGGACACCTAAGGCCATGCCACAAAAGGACACCAGGAGTATAATTTTTTAGTGCTAATTCACTCAGCTCTGGGTATTGGGTCATACTTTTTATAACTTCCCCCAAATCCTCATCATCAACAAAGTCCCCAACTGAAAATCCTATAGGTACTGCCCTTTCAGAGCTAACTTCTTCCGGAGCTGCTTCAGTAGAGGAAGGCGGTGTATATCGATGCACATTTTCCTGGAACGGAAGGCTTAGTGGGATGGTCACTTCGTTTGGTGGTAGGTTTCTTTTGGAACCTTTTGGATGGAATTGCCTTTTTTCTTTTATCGCTTGACCAACAATGTAAGAGGCATCTTTGTTATGGAAGTCGTTTTGTCTCTAGTTGGCCCTGAGGAAGGGCCGGTGGCGTGGATGCCATTATCTGAAGAGGGTGAGACCCTTCCACCTCCATGCATTGGCATCCGCTTGTTATGTACAAATAAATGTGAGGTGTCTCGATATCAGTTTCTTTGTCACCCCTATTGGTGGCTAGCTTCATTGTAGAGATCTCAAAAAAATATATAAAAAAAAAAAGGGATTTAGAAAAAGTTGATTTATGGTTGGAGACATTTTAGAAAAATCCAAAAAAAGAGGAAAATATCAAAATGAGGCATATGACAAGAAAAACTCACAAATCATAGAAAAAAAAATCCAAATTACATACATAATTTTTATACACATTTTTTAATTCTTTTTTTAAGCGACCCAAGTACTTGGCTCGTCAAGGAGCCAAGTCCACTCAATCACTACTTAAATTGATAATCTAATTATCAATTCAACTAACTCTAGTTCCAACTATCCAGATTTGAGGTTGGACTTGACAATGAACTTTCTCGCTTGTCCTTGTATGTCATCACAATAGAAGTTTATATTCAATAAGACTTATATATAGTACACTCTTCCTGTCCAGATAATAAACATAACCACTATTAGAACAATAACACTAATATTCATGGCTTCCAAGTTCCCGAGGAGTCCATTAGAATGCTTAGTTGATAGATATGCAATTCTCTTGAACAAATGTAAAATGAACTAATTCAACACAAACAATACAATCAAGCAGCCGAAAAGTATTTGCAGCAGAGATAGCATTAACAATTAAAAGAATATAGTAAAAAGATAAAGTGAAGCCATAAAACTCACATAGTTATAGTTAAGTCTTATGTTCCGAAACTTACTAAATGAAGGCACCACAGAGGTTGTTTGAAGTGAGGAAGATGATGAAGGCTTGGTTGCAAGCGAGAAGCTTGAAAGATTACTTGTAGAAGCTGCTGTGGTGCTGGTGTTGGTGGTCGTGGCAGTGATGGTTGAAGCTGTGGTGGTCTTGGTAGAGATGATTTTGCTATCAGTTGCAGATGCAATAGCAGGTGTTGCAACTGATGATGATGAAGATGAAGAAAAAGAAAACCCAAAAGAAGGCAATGCAGGAGAAGTAGAAGCAGAGGTTTGAGAGGACATCAGTGAAGGTGCCCCAGAAGTTAAAGGAACCACAGTACCAGTAGTAGAGAGAGAAGAAGAGGCAGTTAAAGGAACCGCAGTACCAGTAGTAGAGAGAGAAGAAGAGGCAGTAGAGACTCCAAGTGTTGGAGTTGCAGGTTTTTGAAATGAAAAACCAGTAGACCCAGAAGTGGGATTCTGAGAAGTTGATAAAGGAGATGACTGAGTTCCTGATGGGAGACCTGAACCAGAGAACAAAGAAGAAGATGAAGAAAACAAAGGAGAACCTAGGGAGACAGGGGAACTTGATGAAGATGCACCAGTTGAAGATGTCAAAGAAGCAGAAGTTGAAGAGAGCTTAGATGCACCAGAGCTTGGAAATGAAAACAAAGGTGAGGGAGAGGAACTTGAAGCAGGGAATATGGAGGGAAATTGAGAACTCAAAGTTGAAGAAGACAAAGAAGCAAGCGATGGGGTGGTAGTCGAAGAAGAAGAAGGGGTTCCAAATAAAGCCTTAGCAGTTGCAGGCGCAGAAGAGGGAGGTCCAAATGAAAACGCAGGAGTGGAAGATGATGAAGTTGCAGGAACCGAAATGCCAAAATTAGGGCTTGAACCTGCCGTTGCAGGAGCCACCGAAGGAGAAGGAGAGGAAGAAGAAGAAATAGAAAAATCAAAACCAGCGCTTGAAACAGCAGTTGCAGGAGCCATGGAGGCCATGGAGGAAGGAGACGATGAAGAGGAAGACGAAGCAAATGCAAAAGAAGAAGGCTTCAAAGCCGAGGATCCAGAGAAGGAAAACGAAGGTGCAGAGGATGGAGGGTTCTGAAATGAAAAACTAGGGCTTGAAGAAGCAGAAGAAGACCCCATGGGAAATGCAGAGAAAGCAGGAGATGCAGATGATCCTGAGCTCAAAGAAGAAGAAAAAGAAGAACCAGATGCACCAAATCCAAAACCAGAAGCCGACGGATTAGTAAAAGAAGAGGAAGAAGAGCCAGATGTACCAAAGGAAAACGCAGGAGCAGAAGAAGAAAATGGAGAGGCAGAAGAAGGGAGAGAAAATGTAGAGGGAGAAGAAGAAGAAGAGAAGGGTGCAGAGCTAGACTGGGCAAACGAGAAGGTAGGGGTCGTAGTAGATGAAGAAGAGGAAGACGAAGAAGAAGAGAGGTTGAAGCCTGTAAAGGAAAAGCCCGCCATTGATGAAAGCCTGGAAGTTGAAACTTCGAATTTACAGGTTTGGCCGCCAAAAACCTAGGGTATAGATGATCGGTACAGTCCACAAAATCCCACCATAACAATTCACAAAAGAGAGGGAAACCCGGGGCTCGCTTGGAGTTCTCCGTTTCGTACTGACGCGTCGAAATTCATTCAATTTACCGGATAAATATCTTTCTTATAAAGTAGTCTCCTAGTATATAATATGGAAAAGTCTTTTTTTTTTTCTTTTAAAAAATAGATAGAGCGATTTTTGTTTTTTTAGGTGCGGTTTCTATGCGGTTGCAACCTTAAACAATCCGATTAAGGCGCACCTTAAAATTTTATTTGTGATTTTGTTGAAAAAATTTCTTAGTGTTATCTTATAATTTTTCTTCGTATCTAATTAGAAATTTTAAAATTAAAAAATGGTTAAAATCAAGTAGATCTATAAACATATGAAAATCTTGAAAATGGACGGTTTAGATAATGTGTTGCAAGATACACTATTTTGGGGACTCAAAAACTATTTTTTTATTCATATTTGTGCATCTCGATGTCGATATGATCGATTAGAGGATTTTTTCAATATTAAAACAACATTTCTGATAGATTTTTTAGGTGCCTCTGTGATTATACATTTTAAAGTTGCAACTTTATATAAACTTTTCCCTCTTTTTTTTTTGGTATAAAGAGGTCATAATCATTTTGCCAGTTTGATTTCAAATCGAGTAGTTATAAGAGTACCATTCACTAGATTCAAAGTCTAAAAATACATTTCTTGGATTTTATGATGCACCCAAGCCATCCAATTTAACATGACTGGGGGTGATTGTAACCGTTTTTTGATAAAAAATAAGTGCTCTCATAGTATAGTATACAATTCCTTTATTTTTTAAGGAAAAAATTACGTAGATGTCTTTAAAATTTTGTGCCATTAGGAGTCTTACGAAAAACTTTTGTTATTATATTCATCTCTATCCTCTATTTTGTGAAATAACTAAATTGTCCTTTCAAAGTCCAAAGTTCGACCTTTGTATAGTTAAAAACAAACTTTGGTTTGCAGAAAAAATAGATTTTGGACCTTTAAGGTTTAAGTTTCTTGTAGTATACTAGTAAGTATTACGTGTATTACACGAAACCTTAGGTAATCTCATCTAACAAAATAATATATAAAAAAATCCAACTATATCCATTATACATAAAATATTATCGAGCATAAATAAAATAATTTATAATTTATACAAAGAAGTTTAGTTGTAATGATGCAAATCGCATCCAAGATGTTCATTTTTTATTTTCTTAAAATTGATTTTAAGAATGTGGGTCGATTTTTTTTATTGATGGGGATCAAATGGGAATAACTTGAATTGAAGGGGAAAGTTAGCGAGAGAGAGAGAAGAGTTATCTTCTTCTTTTTTTTGCTTAAGTTTTTTTATTTTATATTTCAGTGGGTGGAATGCCCCATTAGGAGAAGACTTTGATATTCTTTTGTAAAGAGGTTTTTTTCAATTAAGAAGAAAAAAGTGTTTATTCCCCTTGGCTTGATTTACTACAACTTGTTTCTTCAATTGTTGCCGAGTTTTTGTATATTTTAAAATCAAAACAAGGCTAGATTTAATTTTTAATACTCCTTTCACATCATTTCGTATCAGAGCATGATACAAAAAGGGTTAGCGACCGCAATGGCTGGTCATTGAGATCACAATTTGTAGGAATGCTAAGCATGACCAAATATAAAAGAAACTCGACAATTTAACGCAGATAATTGAAAACTTGTGGCAAAATGAAAGATTGCAAGAACACACATCAACAAGGTGAGATCTATGGTGTTAGATCCATATTGTGCAAGTTATTGTGGAGATCGATGTAAATTAGAGCACGGGTAAGACTGAGAATAGCATGATGTTATGCTTGGTTGCACTTATGGGTTCGATGCACGATAGCATGATGGGAGTATGAATGCAAAGAAAAGTTGGGTAACCGACAACCCCAAAGCCGATGTCATTGGAGTAAGGGAATAGACAAAAATCAGTATCGAGATGAGCAAATAAAGAATTTTACCACATCCAGATCCACCCTTAGAACAAGATCCTGCCAGGCTAGAAAATTGATATCTCCAACCTGGGGAGTTGCTATCTCTATAACAAAACTACGACTTGAGTATCAGATAATTAAACAGATAAAAGTATATGATTTCTTTATAAAAAAAAAACCCTAAAATTGTTACTAGAGAGGTTGATGCATTAAAAGGTACAAAAAACCTCAAATCTTATGAGAAAATGATAGATTATTTCTAGATAAAAAAGAGAAGAGATAAATGAGGATATGCCTAGCAATTTTATTGATAAAAGGATGGATGATTTTATATCTGCTAATGATGAAATTCAAAATTGTGTAGATCGTAAGGAAATTTTATCTTCTAAAACTATCTTTGTTAGAGACAATGTTGAATTTGTAAGTGAATCACTTCTAATGAATAAGGAAAACCAACCCATAACTATTATCAAAGGGGATTTAGGATTGGATGAAAAAGCAAAGGTAGTGGTTTTTTATCAAAGTAAAGTGTTGATGGTCAAACATGAATCATCTTTGTTATTATTGAGTAAAGAGATTCCAACTAAGTCTTCTAAAAAGGTAGGTGTGGCTCTACTCTTAATTGCACAACACACAGAGGAAAGAGATGTTGAAGACAATGCTAGTAAGGATATTACATCTATCAATGCATTTTCTAGGTTTGGGAGGTTATAGGAGATGCACATGAAGGAATTGATGATAACTCCTTTTGGGGCATCAGCTTGTGGGTTTATTATAGGGGATACTCATCAAGTAGTGGATGTTATGTCTACCAATGCATGGGCCAAGGATAGGTCACTACTTTGATTTGATGAAGCAACCAACTATATCCCCTCTCTTCTCCTCCCAAAACCCAAACCAAATAAGTCCAATATCAACACCTCAATAATGCAAAATTATGAAAGATCTGAGCACTTGCAAATAGGGTAGATAGTTTGTTCTAGCATTAAAGGAGAATACTCATCCTCTTTGTATTTGATGCTAGTGACATTGCACATACATACCAAGGATGTAACATTTTCTGGTATGCAAAAAATGTTATTGTTAGGATGCCTATGAGATGCACAGTATCTAGGCATATCGCAATCTCATAATTACGTATCAAAAGCAAGAAGGATATAAAAGCAATTAAGCAAATACCGACCAATGCTCAGAGAAATGGGTTTAATAGATGCATTTGTGTTGCCAATGCACTCTCATCTGCTTGTATCAAAGCTGATTACTTGATGCAGCCATGCCCCTTCGTGACTGGGCCAAAGAAGGGTCGCATAACCCAAGAAGGAAAAAAAGGGCAATAACGCAATAAGGAAAATTATTAGGGTTATTTATTAGGATTATTTTAATTATTCTTTTGTTTAGGGAGTGCGCAGGGATAATTAGCAGGGTGACTTTAGAGTTTATATTGTGTTTATCTTGTACCGATTGGGTTAGTTTGAGGGATATAATTAGGATAAGGGTAAATTTAGAAGAGAGTTTATCTTTATCAACAATAACCAACTTGGGAAGGTGTTTTTGGGTAAAATATGAGAGGGAAAACGTGGCTATCTAGAAGCCCATGATATGAAAGAGCGAAAATAGGGATAGGTGTAGAGAGAAGCTTTTTATTAGTTATCTTATTTTAGTCTATTTAAATAGACATCTCCTTTCATTGTAAATTAGTCTATGAATTGAATAAAAATTAGCCTCCTGAAAGAGATTGTTTTGGGGGTAGATTCCCTTGCAAACCTGTGAGAGATGATATTTTTCCATTAACCTTCATTATTTTTATTGTCAATTTTCTGGTTTTATTCTCTCCCTGCATCAATTGGTATCAGAGCAGACTTTGATGGCTTCACAAGAGACACCCCTCGATGGATTAAAGGTATTGGCTGGATTAGTTCAAGCCCTAGCAGAGAGAGTAGACCAATTTGTGCCTATAGCTGCGAAAGTTGATGAGTTTGCACAAAAGTTCGCTCAGCTTCAGGATGGAAGGAATCCAGAGACCGGTGTTAAAACTCAAGGCAACATAGATGAAAGATGTATGCATCTTGTTCCTAACCAACCTCGGGTGGCCCCGACTAATAACAAATTCAATGAACGAATTCTTCGATTGTTGGAAAGAGAAAGAGAACTTGAAATAAAAATTGATATTCCAGAGTTCCATGGTCAATTGCATGCAGATGATTTTTTTGATTGGCAAAGTAAAGTAGAGAAAGTGTTTGAGTACAAAGATATTACAGATCGCAAAAAAGTAAAATTAGTAGCCACAAATTTTTCTGCCCATGCATTGGTTTGGTGGGATGATGTGCAACAGGATCGTCTTCAACAAGGCAAAGAAAAGATTAATTCATGGGAAAAGATGAAGACGAAGATGTGACAAAAAATTTTACCAGTAAATTATGCCTGAACTTTGTACCAAAGGTGTCAAAACCTCAAGCAAGGTGCAAAGTCAGTAGGCGACTATACTAATGAGTTCCATATTTTGACATCTAGAGCAAATTTACAAGAGTATGAAGATTAAAAAATAAATCGTTACTTGAATGGGCTAAATCAAGCCATTCATAATGAATTGGCCTTTAAAGATGTCTATAAGATATTTGATGCCTATACTTTGGCCCTCAAAACAGAAAAAATAGTCAATTTGGACCTTGGGAGAAATAACTTAATAATAAGAAGCTCTACTTCAATACAGGGGCAGCAAGTTTTAACCTTTAGAAGACCACCTATAGGGCGAGAAAACCAAACCTCTCAGAATTTCTCAACTAGGCTAAACCCTAATATGGGGAGAGGCGGTGTTGGGAGAGGGTCGGGAGCACCTAAAACACTTCGTGATAATATACAAATAGTGTGTTTCAAGTGCCAACAGCCTGGACATATGGCATTCAATTGCCCCTCACGTCAACCCCTGGTCAAAGTTAATTTGGCCTAAAGAAAATTATGAAGACGAAGTTGATGAAGGATAGACCCATGAAGGCCAAGGCGATATTGGGACGAGCCAGTCTTATGAAGGGACTGTGCCTTTCAAATGTGAAGTTGAGGATTTGTATGGAGATGAAAAGGGCGAAGCCTTAGTTATCCAGCAAACTATGTTATCAATCCCAATACCTAACGAGGATGAGAAGT